ATGCGGCAACAGCTCCTGACCAACAGTAACTGGGCGACAACTACATCGTGCGCGGAACCGTTCTTATAGAATGTTGCTCCACTATTTGTATGCAAACTCACATCTTTCAGATTCACGTCCAACTGAAGGCTTCGAAATGCGTTTCTCGGAATCTGGAGACAGATGTATGGCCATGAGGATATATTCAGTTTCGAAATTCCATGCATTCAATGTGAACCATATCCCAGGAATCTCTGAAAAGCTTGAGCAGGCCAAGATTTTGACACGATCTTTGTTCGCGGGAATTTCGATTTCCCTTTGCAGGCCATTTTCTTCATGCTTGGCCTTGCCTACGGCTCCAGCACTTTCTTCAGCGCCGCGAAGGTAAATACAAATGGTCGCCCATCCTTTTTCGACCGCCCGCTTTCTCCCAAACGAAGATGTTGCGCCGCGCGCAACAGTGGCAGGGCACCTGAATCTGTAGTTGATTTGCATCCGATCTACACATTTGCGTCAAAGTCAAAAGAACGTCTTTCTGTATCTGTACGCACAGCGTAAAAATGCTGTCTGAATTTGTGGAATTTTCTGCTGAAATGCTGTTGAGCCCGTTGTGCTGAAATGTTAGTGAATCTTTTTCTTGCAGCGAGAGCAGCATGCGTGGCATTGAATTGCACACGTTAAGCAATTGCCCCGAACAGATGCTGATCTCCAATGAAAATCAAGGTTGCTAGTCACCCACCTTTCTGTTGTGAGTGAATTGCAAATGACGTGCGCGCTGCGTCGCAAACAATGCAAGTTGCATTACGAGACTGCATAATGACGTGTTTGGTCAACTTTTTGCGCAGCTCCTACAGCTCGGCCACTCTCCGGGCAATCACTTTCTTGCACTGGAACTGTGCGGGGACGCTCGAAATTTCAAACAGATGAAAATACAGCAAAGCTCAATTGTTTTGACCATTTTAAAAATGCAATTAAATAAAAAAATCGTCCCAGATTATGGGACTTGGTCGCCCACACTCGACATTTGTGCACGGTACATGAACGATGCATCCAGGTTACCAGGTAACCCAGAACAACCTCGGGGGAAGCAAATCGACACGCAACACGAGCGGTCAAATCACTCCCGGGACAACCAGCAGATCTCTGTGCAATGCGGGGTTGCCTGCTTTCGCTGTACCGGAGCCGATCGCCGATAATTTCAGCAGAGAGAATGGATTCGAATGAGGGATTTGGGTTCTGTTGTCATCGCAGGCTTTCATGGAGGCGTTTCACAAGGTGCCGAAGGGGGGATGCAGGATGCTGGTGAAGGTAATGGCGATCGTCTTCTTCGGCAGCTGGGTTTGGTATCCCATCGTCTTCATGCTGGGCCCCGAGGGATTCGGCCACCTGACCATCGCCGGGGCGGACATCGCCATGACCTTCGTCGACATGCACTCGAAAAACGCCTTCGGATTCATCGGCCACTTCCTGCGCCTCAAGGCAAGGGCGCGGGCGCTTTTCTGGCGCTTGGAGCGCGCACGGAGATGGCCACAAGGCTGAATGCAGAACGGCCGGGGAGCGCGTTTGGAAACACAAGCCCTGGGCGATTTGCCGATTGCGGCGGCGACCCCGACTTGCATTGCGCCCAGCATTCGCAGTCTTGTCTCAATGAACACCAGCTTGGCGTTGTCTGGACTGATGCGTGTGAATTTTTGAATGCGCCAGGCTGTCAGCTGTACTGACGCATACACTGCGAAAAATTCAGAGCCACGCACAGCACTCGCAGGCCTCTTCACGATTTCGATTTTTCACAAATTTCTGGTGCAATTTGCCCTTGGCATTAACGGTAAATTTTTTTTCGATTGAAAATCTGGACAAAGTCAACATAGACACAGCGTTAAGAACGCTGTTTGCCAGCACAGCGATGATTAATGGTAAAGCAAACATGATGCATGTACTATTACCGCTCATAAGAGTAGTGACCGTTTTTAGTCATAAATTTGGATCAATATGTCGATTTGGTGCTCGGGCCGGTTTGGTATTTTGCGCAATTCCGAAACTGAAATAAAACAAGCAAAGTACCAAATTTTCTAGCGAATATCACATCCTTTCCTAAGTTGCCTTGTTCTAGAGAATCACTGTCTTTCCAACAATTTCTTCCAATGGAACACATGCATCACATTTCGCCCTTCGCAAAAAAGCAGATATTCTCACCTGATTCTAGAAAAACTGCAAAAATAACAGCCATCCATGCGTGGGACCCAATTCACATCCCTCCTGGTGCACACAGATCAAGGCTTACGTTCTCGAGCATGGAGACCTGCGCAAGAAGAAGAAGATCAACGTGGGTGGTCAGGAAGTGGAGGTCAACTGCTTTGACGACGACGAAGGGCCTCCCGAAAACGACAAGCTGGAGGAAATTGATGACGGCGACGACGCCCCACCGGATCGTGCTGGGTGCGGCGCCTCGCATCTCCATTGGGGCACTCGCTTCCCAGGCGAAGGCGCTTCTTTTTGCGCTTTTTTTTCGATCGCAGTACTTGCGGCGGCTCTTTTTCAGTCTCCATTTGGTGCAGGAGCTCAGCTTGTATGGCTAATTGACAAGGGCGCCAGCAGCGCGCTGCTGTGGCGACCAGGGCGAGGTCTGTTTTGAGCCTTGGCAAAACTAATGGGCTAAAATGGGGAAAAAACTTCTTGGGTGTGTGCGCTAGGCGCCCTTTCAGTTGGAGAACCTGGGAAAATGAGTCCCAGTTCCCGCAGCGTAAGTTCCTGGCAACTGGTATTGCGAAACCTCACGGTGGCTGGGCATGTCAATGAAACACGTATTTCCGGGGACCACGCAGAGCTGGCCGCAGGCTGTGCCTTCATATGACACTCTTTAGGCAATTGGCTGATAAAATCTGTTCTAACGCAGCGACAATAAAACACGTTTGGAAGCTGCTTGACTCGCACATTTTCTGTTTTTAAAGAACAGGGGTCGTTGTCTGCGACAGGGATGCAGCTCACAGGGGAACCGTCGCCATGGGCAACAAAGGCGATCCCCTGCCTCAGGAGGGGCGCGTTCTTCTCGGTGTCCCGGACAACTCCCTTGTACAGATTATCAACCAGACGGTAGGAACTGCACAGCCGCCGTTTCCTGTCTGCAAAAAGAAGCCCAAAGTCTGCTTTTCCTTTATAAATCAAATGACATCATCTGCGGTGTACGAAATATGCGTTGTTATAGTTGTGTGGTGAAAATGCAATGGCGTATCCGTGCATAAAAGGATGCGGGGCATAAAGCGTTATGGGATGTGCGCGTTTTCCACATAGCATAGAAGGACGTTGCTTATCATTTCCAAGGCAGTCTTCAAGGACTCCAGCCAATAGTAATGATGGAATTCATGTACGTTCTGTAATCTACACAATGGTCGTCTACCAATACGGCCCCAATTATTACCACGTGCATTCCTGCTGCTATGGCAATGTTCTAGCAAGCGGAAGGTGCACCTTTTTGCGACAGAATTGGCACATACGGTAATATTACGTTGCCTTGAAAAACGTTCAATGCAATATAATGTGCATGGAAAAGAGTGACCTTGCAGAGCCCAAACCACAAGCACCGAACGAAACTCTTCCAGCGATGTGTGCCATCCACAATGCAAACTTGCAGACGCAAACGCCACCAAACTATCCAACTCAACTTCATGGCGCGGCCTCCATCATTTATTCGGCATTCCCCATAACCTCTTTGCCATTCTGCCATCACAACTGAGATTTGGAATTCGCGATATTTTAATTCGATACTCTCTTAGAGAGCAAGTTGACCTATTTAAATTTGTGAATTGTTATATCAATCCAGTTATTGGGGCCCTTATTGAGGTTCCTTTAATGAGTTTACGAGACATCGACAGACTCCAATGTCCCGTGCAGTTCCACTCCCTGCCCGTCCGCGTGGATCTGCTGACCGCCGTCGGGCCGGAGTCCATCCTCCACACTGCTCAGTTCGCCATTATGTCCGGCGGCCTGGACTTCGTGCTGCTGCACCCGGCCCTACTGGATGACTACAGCTTCGTCAACAGGATCAGGGGCGAGCTTGGCCTGCCCGTCTGCGCCTTCGGGTGGATGCCTTACGGGCCTGAAAGGCAGAAGATAGAGTCTGCTCCCATTGACGGCTTCTTGGTCAGTGTGAAATTTCACAGTCGTTCATGGGCATGTAAATGGCCATTCGAATGGACAAGCACCTTCGAACGAGCATGAAGAATGGAATTGCGGCCGGCTCCGCCTGGCAGGCGCACGATATGTTTGCATGTGCGCGTGCGCAGCGCCGAACGCGGGCTGACGTCATCCTCATCCTCATCATCATCACCATGGCTATCATCCTCATCGCCATCACACTGGACACCACATTCTGATGAATTCATTGCTCCAGTCAGCAGCCACCTCTGTACATGAACCTCCCTCTACATGGACATCTCTTCTCCATTTTGCTTCTGACCGAGATCGCCGATCGGCGAACCTTTCGCGAAATGTGGCACAGGCTGTTGACGTCATGTTTATGCTGGTGGGAGCGGAGTCGGGTTTAGTGAACGCTATGTAACTAAGGAATGCATCATCATCACCATCATCATAGCTGTCATCATCACTATTTACAGAACGAGGCAATAACGTAACCGCCAGCTTCTTATTTCGCCCGAGCAAGGCAGAGTTTACGCGAACTGAGGCACAACCAGGCCCGGGAGCCAACGAGGGACGTGTAGGGACATGGGATGTGGCTCTCCGTGCTGTGGCTAGTGCGGCCAAAGAACGACACGTATCTGGTATCAGATCCGTGTCAAACACGAACCGGTCTGTGTATCGGTTTGTTAATGGCCCAGCTTGCCATGTGCGCAGCGACCCATATCCGAATGTACGGCGTGCTTCCCCACCGCAATACGCAAGTCAACGTCGGTGAAGCTCCAATGGCCGCAGGGCCGTGGCTGGCGCGTAACGCTGTTCTCGTTGCTGCAGCCGTTGCGGTGCAACGGATGCACCCGTTTCACCAATCCCTGTGCCTTGCACCGCAGGCTGGTCCCGGCATCGGCATGGCCATCGACGCCCGCCAGCTGATGACCCTCATCAGCGGCATGCAGCAGAAGAAGAAGATGGGCGCCATGATCAGCACGGGTGGGGACGGTTTCACGCCCAACCCCATCTACAACCAGGGCAGTGGGATGCCCCTCCTGGGACAGAGCGCCGCCAACATGGGCACCATGCCCGGCTCAGGCACCATCACGCCCAACACCTTCCAGCAGCAGCAGCCGGACGCCCAGGTGCAGGAGCAGAAAGTGATCCAGGACCTCCTGGGAGAGATCAAGCGCCTGAAGAGCGAGCTGCAGTGAAGGGCCGCGGGGCCCAGAGGCAAGCGGCCAACGGGGAGAAAGCGGGCCAAAAACGTTGGCGGACTGCGAGCCCCGGTAGTTGGCTGCCATGTCGGTTGTGATTGGGGTGCAGTAAATGGACTGATAGTTGAGCGCTGAGCGATGCGCGGGGTGGAATGCCAAAGTGCTGGACGCCGCTGCTGAAGTGTTGCGGAGTTGAGCGAGCGCCTGAGAATTGGCGCGTGGGATATGCTCGGGCGGCTGGTGTATATGCTCAAGTGAGGGGCGGATGGGACTGCTGCTGGCGCAGCAATTGTTGCGGCCACCGCATTTCCGCCATTGTTGCCGACAGGAATTTGCTGCGGCCACAGGACGTCGTTTTTGAGACGAATATTGTCGGCGGCTCTCTCAAACACATTTTTGCACGCCGGAGGGGTGCCTGCCTCTGGGATGGCAACGGAAATGTTCCCTCTGTAACATCTTCTGATCGTCGCAGGGCTGGCAAGGATGCAGGCGCCCAACGCGCAGTCGGCCATGGTGGGGAAGCTCAATTCGAACAGGGAAAGTCTTTCCAAATCGGTCATCGTTCACTGGGAAAAAACGGCATGTTTGTGATGCCAACGGCGATGCCATTTTGACACAAAATGGTGCCGTCTCAATAATTGCGATGGCGTGAAAGCGGATATGATGGCATCAGTGAAAGTGGCATCGCAAAAATGCACTTTTCTGAAGGTCGTTGAGCCCGAGGCGATGGGGGAAAAGGGTGGCTGTTGCCATTGAATGGTGTCCGCCTATCACAACTGGTTGACAATTTCGATTCACGGAGCCCTCCGCATGAGAAGTCCCATTCCCGTCACCGAGTTCGCAGCGCGAAATCTCCAACACCGGAAATGCATCATGCATGGATTCGAAAGCTGTTGGCCAGGCTGTGGCTGAAAATTCAAACAACACCTGAATACATATTTATTGATAATAAAATTTATATTCAGGAGCCAATATGTATTCAGGAGGGGAGCTCCACATAACCCGTTTTGGCGAGGTTATCACTCCTGGTTGGGACTTGGATATAAGGTCAACATCAACACGCGCTTTTGCATAACAAGAGTAGGAGGCGGCCGGCAGGTGCGCATTTTGCCCAGGAAGGGGTCGTCCGTGGTTGGTTCATTGGAATCTATTGAATATCGCTAAGTCCAGAACCCATCAATTCCTAGCCTTCCAGAGGCCCTCATAGGCCACAGACCATGGCAAGCTGTGTCAGTTGGAGACCGAGGACAGAAGGAAAAAATGATCTTGCCCTGCTGTGCGGAAACGCACTCAACCAGGTCAAGATGCCTGTTGCGGGGTTGAATAGGACGTGGGGGCACCAACCGAAAGAGAAAATCGCAGGGCATTGGAACTGGTTCGTTTTTGAAATTTCAGCGTTTCTTTTTCCCTTTTTGTGAAAAGTGGTATAAGGTTCAGTACTTTACAGTACTGGCTTGTACAGAATTGTCCTGAAAGAGTGCTTTCAGCATTTCTGTTGCTGCCGAGTCGGGAGTCCCGACAGCGCAATGCTTGTGCACCCAATGTGGCGACGGCAGATCTTCCCAATTGGTGAGGTGCAATGACTGGTGCAAAGGCCCTTGGGCCCGACAAAAATCCAGACACTATTGAGAGCAAGACGCTGAGCAACTTCCTGACCTAAACATTACCAAATACTCTAATCCATTCCGCCCATCCATGAAAGGGTTCTCGCATATTTAAATGCCACTTACATGCCGTTAATGGCATGTGCCTAATGTACACTGTTTCCCGACCGGTTCATTTCAAGTCCAAGAGCGCTGTTCTTATGCGGATTTCAGAAAAATCGGAGCCTACCGCTTGAAGCATTATTCTTCCAACGTTGGTGAACTGCGACAGCCCAAATTTCTCCTCTGGGATTGCTATCAGTTCCTCTACCTCGCATGCAGCCGAAGACGACTGGGGTCCCTGCGTGCTGAAGGGTGGTAGGCCCGCCAGCATTCGGCACGCTGAGCCATCTGGCGCCTTCACATATCGAAAGAACTACTGAAATTCACCGACCGCTTTACTATATGCAATCATTCGTCGCCCCGCCATGGACATCTAACGCCTGCGTGCCAGCGCGGTAGGTATCCCAAAGAACAATCCCATGCCCAAGTACCGCTAATCTAGGATTGTACTCCACGAATCAATTCTGGAACTCCAACAGATTAATACCACCGAAATGTGCCTGTGACTTTATTCAAGGTCGCGTAGGTCATCCTGGGTGCCATTACCGCTGCGCTCCCAAAAATCTGTGCTGCGGACCTTGAGGCCGGAATCGGCGAAGCTGCAATCTTGCAGCTAAAGTTGGCTTACACCTATGACGCCTCCCATCTCGACTAAGGCAGAAGAATTGATGTCACCAAGCAGACTTCTCCATTTTGGCGCCGTAGCAAAACCGGGGAACTCGCAGGTTCCCCACATTCCAATCCTTGTGCAAATGCCCCTGCAAAGAGCCGATGAGGAACAGGTTGTTGGGGAACAACTCTCCGCCCCATCAGTCCTAAAGTACCACCGAGCCCAACAAGCGCTACACAGCACCACTATGTGCTGTTCAGGCCTTCAGGCGCTTCGGGTCAGGGTGCCGACCCCATCCTGTCAGTTCTCCAGCTTGGGCTCTGATTGGGAATTGCACTCACACTGGTGCCCGTTGCCGGGGCGACGCAATCTCGGGACGCGTCCCGGGCCCTTGGGGCCCGCCTCCCTGCGCGTCTCTTCGCGGGCCAGCCGGACGCGATCAAATCGCAGCCCACCGCCCGCACGGCCTGCCCAGACCAACTGCATCCCCTGAGAGAGAACACCACCTATCTTGCCACTTTCTTGCCAGTTTTCTTGACCCTGTTCTTGGAAAAGCGGTGCAAGACTCAAGACTTCATAGTGCTTGTCTGTGCCGCTTGTTCCTGATTGTTTTGGGGACTTGTTCCCAATCGGAGCCATGCCCCACGTCTCGCATCCAACGCCTCAGCGCAGGTCCGCCCAGGGCAGCGCCCCATTTTGTATCCCGCGAGGCCAAGCACTTCAATCGATCGCCCCGCCTCGCGGGCTCACCCCCAAGCCTGTGGACGCTTGATACCCATGCCGATGCTTCAGGTCCATCTGGATACTTCAAATCTATGTCGGTGCTTCCAATCCATCCCAATGTTTCAGGTCCGTGTGCACGCTTCAGATCCATGCCAACGTTTCAGGTCCATGTGAACGCTTCAGATCCATGTGGATGCTTCACATCCATGCGGATGCTGCAAACTCCCTCCCGTTCTCCGCGCCTTTTGGGTGCCCGCCCGCCAAGGCGTCGCTCGACGCCCGGCCCTCGGGCCCGCTGCCCCGCAACTTGTCGGGCCCGCCGGTGTCCATCATCGACGTGTCGTCCACCGCAGCGGCGCGGGAGGCGGGCCGCAAGGCACGGGCGGGCACCTGCAGTTGGCTGGGGCGGCTTCCCGTGGCCCCTGCGGTGTCATCGCCGATCTGCATGCCGCTCCGTTGGCGACTGGTCACGTTGTTGATTGGGACGGGTTGGCTTGCGCGATTGCGCCAAGGTGCCCGCGGTGGCGGAGCGGCGGAGTGAGGAGCGGGGATCGGTAGGCCTGGTGGTGCTGGGTGGGGACAACTCGTGGGATGGGCTCTCCCCCAGCCCCTAAGGAAGCTGGGGAGACGGCTGGCGTGGATGTGTGTATTGGCGGGATGACCTGCAGGTCAGGAGGGGTCCAGGTCAGGCGGCGGCAAGCGTATGTGAACACTGGTTTCGCTGCACCCCGCTTCCGCTGTGGATAAATACAGACGTATATGTGATTCAGCGCTCCAACAAAGAATTTTAAAGACAGCATACTCTAAATTGATTAGTGATGGCAATACACTAACGCTTCACAAGACGATGTGCTGAAACCGCTGTCTTTTTGGTGTACCAATCTACGTAGTCTGGGAATTGGGGTATCAAGACCCAAAACTCGAAGGCACACAATTGTGTTGCAGCACTCTGAACAGGGGCACACGAAAACCAAAAAGAGGTTGCGGATGAAGCCAGAAACTACAGTGTCATTAAGATGCCGCCGTCTGCACCCCATTGTCCTGTGCGCCCATTGAGAAAAGTACTTGGCAGTCCTCGCTTGAGCAACAACGCATGCACTGTCCTCAAACCTTCTGCGCTGTGAAATCTGAACGTTACGGTTTTGCTCCCGCATTTTTGAAAGATCGTTGCAGTGAAATCCTGGCGCTTTGCATTTTGCTCAACGGTACAGGCCGGGCAGAACAACCCGCCGGCAGAGTTTCCATCACGTTCCACGATATTGGCACTTCGCTGGTGTCAATTCCCCGGCTGAATACCTGTTCTCACTGCACGCGTGTGAGAATCAAGGGCTTCCATACAAGTGCACCCAAAACTTCCTCCCAAGCGGACGAGATTCTGGGCAGCGGTGGCACTGCCACATGGCCGCGACCGCTTTCCATTCAGCGACGAGTTCCCAGGTTTTCCGTTTTCCTTTCTTTTCTTGCGAGCTGGGAGCCGTAGGATTGGTCCCCCGGCCAGTTTTCGCAGCCGCAATACGTCACCTCCGCGGTGCAGCGACTCGCGCTTCCGCGCCGAACGCCGCAAGCAGCCGAAATGGGGTCTTTCTGCGGATGGGCCGTCGCGTCCGGGATACTTGCGGTTTTGCACCGCAACTTTCCGAGTGCCTTTTGAGCGCAACGCAGGAACTCGGTGGCAGTGGGGGCTGCGGTGAGCTCAACTGCGTTTGGAGCCAGCCAGAGTGAGCACCAATCCTGGAAGTAAAACATAGCACAATTTTCTGTAGCATGTCCACATTATGTTTCGCCGTCACGGTTTCAACGCCTCTGTGCCTCGTGAACAGGTCCAGATTCGCGTTGGTTGCAATGGGGAAAATATCAAGTACAGCCACACTGCATGGCGGCGTGGGCCCACGGTGTGTCACGCCACCGAACCTCGTGCTGCTGCATTTCGCGCATCTGCCTCAACGACGAGATGTGACGGGTCGGCACTGTCACCCTCGCAGCAATATGACGCTTTGGCGTTTTTTCGGGCAGTCCAAACTTGCCCATGCGTTTGCAGGCTGCAAATATCAGCACGCCATGGTGTCATACGTATACCGTATACAAATATACCGTATGATATGTATGTCATACGGTGCTCCCCAGAGATGGGACACCCAGATAGTAACTCATGCAGCAGGCACGAACATTCGCATTCGTGGAAGAACGCAAGAGGCAAGAATGAAATATTGTATATTTACAATTGCAAATTTACACAGACCACCTCATGACAATCGCGATGGTGCCCGAAAACAATGCACACGCGGCGCCCAGGGAGCAGCATTCAGCACCGAAAAAAGGAATATCGTTGAGTCCCCGCAAACTCTTGAGTATCCCGAGCGCATTGTTGGCATCTCCGGCCTCACACCATGCCAGCCAAGAGCGCATTGTCCCAATGCTCCTCACCTGTGCTTCTTTCCACGCTGCTGGCCCCGCTGGCTTGCCGCTCATGCAGAGCGTCCGTCTTCCTCTGCCGCATCTCCTCCTTCATGAGCCCCTCGATGGTGTCTTGCACTTGGGCGGCGCTTGGCCTCCCCTTGGGATTCTCCTTCCAGCAGCTGCGAATCAGGTGTGCCAGCTTGTGTGGGCAGTACTCTGGAATTTTGGGCCTCTTCTTGTCGATTGCGACCGCCTTGATTATCTGCAGAAAAAGATCAACATGAAATAACAATATTCAATATAGCATACAATACACTAACTTAACAATATTTCAGGAATAAGCGGTGCAAACAAGTGCCTTAAAGTGCTGAGTCTGACACCACTTTTTCGCCACAATTGCGCCACCGCAATGCGAAGACGTCGCCGAATTTGCGCTGGTCCCCCAGACGACTTTGCATTGTAAAATCTCTGAAAAGAGCTGTCGGCTGGTCGGATGGCACATCAGCTGTGGGGATGTTTGATACGCAAGCTGATGCACAAACGAAGTAAATTGCAACTTTTAGAAATGAGCTGAATCTCTCTGAAAGCGTCGAGCCCATTTGTCGCTGCATTCCCTCATTGGGGACGCCAAAATTCTGTTGTGTGCTGCACGCAACATAAGTTGGGTGCCGTTTTGGACTGAAACACATGACTGTGCAGCGAAGTTGCACCCTCTTGTGCATTGGTCGCGGGCATATCCAAGATGTATGGGCGGCGCCCAACCACAGAAACATTGCTCTGAGACTATCTTCACAAGTGCAATGCCATTATAGCCAGTCGGTGAAAAAGTTTCAGCCGCTTTAACCCTCTTCAGACGCACAGGCTGTGTAAAAATGGGAGCTCTCTTCCAGCGCCCGGCTATTCGCTATCCTGCAGGGAAGCGTAACCAAAGCGCATCCACGAGTAAAATGCTCCCACAGCGCTCTGGAAGGAAAGAATTCTGCAGTATGGCGGCTTGCCCACATGTCAATTCCTGCCTCTAAGGAGCACCGCGCTAATGCATATTTGCCTGCAAGGGTTTTCAGCACCAAAACCGTTAGAAGATTTAGATCTGTGTGCAAAGTGGCTTGCCTTGCAAAGATCTTTGGACGAGATGGCCACTTTTGTATGCGATATACGCTTAGATGCATATCGCACCACAGAATGCCATGCGGTGTTTATTGGTAGGTCCGCTGGAACAACAGTAAGTGAGCATTCCCCCTCCTCCCCGCTCCACTCACCCAATTTCTTAGAGCAACCCTGCTACCTACAGGTATGTAAAGCACCTGTAGCTGGCCACATTTATTGCAGATGTGTCAGTGAAAAAGATCGCAAATATTCAAACAATAATCGTCCGTCATCAAATAAATATCCGCCGCAAATCTGGTCAGTGCCCGTTGAAGATAAGGCGCCCATCCGAGGGGCAGCGCTTCTTAGGTTTACTGCGCTCCTAACGCCACCTACCTGAAAGAGCTGCGGAGCGAAGTTGTTGTAAGGGAGATCCGAAAATGGCACCTTGCGGGCGATGGCTTCGTACAAAATGCACCCCACGGAGAATATGTCACACCTGGGCAAAGCACCCAGAGGCCACAATGAACTGTTGCCGTATTCATCACCGCCGGTAATTGACACAACGTTCATACAATAGTCACGTAAAAGTCACGTAATTGAATGGTTTCCGGCTCTGCATGCCACTCGCGCGCGAATCCAAATTTCTGGATTGAAACGTGGCTGATTTGAAAATTGCCATCTGCGAAGGCCACTAATCATGCTAATAGACTGAAACCCCCCGGTTGTAAAACTTGAACTACGATGCACTTCTGGCACGAGATTTTCAATCCATTTGCTTCGCAGCAGCAATCAATTCTGACAATGCTCACGTCCGGTTTACTAACCACTTTGCTAACTGCTCACACAGGCAATGTTGACAAACACACGTGCTTGTGGCCAAGTAAGAGAAGGCAAGCTGTACGCAGTCATGTGGAAATCCACATTGACATCATTTGCCAAACGCGAGCCGACGCCCTGCCTTGGGACTTAACCGACACTGACAGATGCCGCTCATATCAACAAGTTTGATTTCCTCGCAACCGATGTCGCTTGCTGTCAGTCGGGTTTGGGACGCGTGCAAGTTGGTCTTTCCGGTTTGAGCGTATTTTACCCACTTCTCGTCCACCCGCGTGCCGTTGAATAGCTCTGGTGCCATGTAATTCGGCGTCCCTCCTGTCTGCGTGACCGATAGGTAGCTCTTGTGAGGGTCCTTGAATTTGGATATGCCAAAGTCTGCAATTTTAGCGCGTCCCTTCTTGTCCATGAGCACGTTCTGCGGCTTCAGGTCGCGGTGAATGACGGTGGGGTGTAGGTAAGCCAGAGCTTTGGCAATGTCATGCCCGAGCTGCAGACATACAACCCAATGATGAAGTCACAATCAATCCATCCTGAGTCAACATCTGGCATCCCACTCTGGACAGCCGGATTTGAGTCTACAGTCTCTTGCAATATTCGTAATGTGACGATCCGCCTTTGAAGCCTTGCATTCACGTTCGCTGCATTTCAGGGCGGCCTGGTGAGGCAAGGAAATGATTGCAGTTGTCTGGCGGGACAGGATGGCATGTTAATTCTGTTCAAGTTTTACCTCAACTGCAGAATCCAAATGCGCTGCGAGGTTGAAATCGAATAATGCTCAACTAGCAACGCAATCAACATGGCAGACACAAGATCCACAAATGCAGTCCGAGGACCTCCTGGGTCGCTAGGCTTGCACTGGTAACGAAGCAGCCACACCCTTGATTACCCCGCAGAAACTGAAGATTTGATATTCTGCGGTGTGACAGGTGTGTGTTTGTGTCTATCAACAACTTGCGCGCTACAAGAGGCAGCTTCACCAGGCTTCGTCTCTGGTTAGTCGATGCACATAGCTCACTTTGGAAGAGGGAAGCAAAAAGGGACTTGCATCATAAGGTGACGCATCCATTCGTCTCGGCATATGGAAGGTGTCATGATGGATCAATCACCATTCCGCGAATGCATTTGCGGACAATCTGCACAACTGTTTTTCCAAGCTTACTGTAAAAGACTTTGCGGTAATATACATGTACATTGCTTTGCAGCACCTTGCGGACTTTGCAGTACTGTCGTGTCAAAAACTTCGTGACATTCTGACATTACTGCTGTACGGTTCGGGCACGTTACCCATTACATCAAGCGCGCCACGTTGTTAGCGAGCTGAATGACGAATGTCACTCATCGGTGGCTCGGCCCCTCCCTCTGAAGCACTCACCTTCAAGACCTCCAGGTAGTCCAATTTCCTCTTGTTGCGGTTGTGGATGCGCTGCGACAGGTTGCCGCCCTCCACGAGCTCCATGATGAGGCAGACGTTCTCCTTGTCTTTGAAGCAGGCCGCCAGGACTTTCACGATGTTTGGGTGGTGGAACCTGCTGGTCAGCTTGATTTCGTCCACCAGCGTCTGCTGCATGGCGTCGTTGTCCACTTTCATGACCTGCAGCCGACCGGGCTCTCAAAACGCCAATCCAAAGTCATGCGATATACCCACGTTATGTGGAAGCAAAGTGCGAAAAAAATATTTAATTAACTAATTTCAAAATTGGCGCCAGCTTACACAAAGTTTCTGGCATAGGTACTGCGACCATGCGTAGCCACGTCCATATGTACGGTGGCCCTTGTTTGCACACGTGTATAGCCAGTCCAACATAGCCGTGGTACAGGTTATCACAAACAATTGTGTGCTCGCTGCCTCGAGGTCTATTTGGATTTATGAGATCGCTACCTCGAGGTGCTCCTCATGCATCCCCAAAACGGCGGGAACGCGCAAAGGGCGACGATGTGGTTACAGAAGCCCTCGTCCTCCAGACATTTCAATGCCTGTTTCTGCCGATCCGCCTTGAAACATGGCCCTTGATGCAATTGAGCCTCAACACCGCGCAGAGCTGGCGCTCACTTACGCACATATAGACTTTAACATATGAAAGAGCCGACAATGCATGCAACAGTGTGCAAGGTAAATAAACTCAAACAGAGAATTGCAGGCCTGCAACTGATGCCTTGACAGGTGCGGCATCTCCGGAATTATGTGGAGTTGCCCAAGAGATACATAGCTTAGACATCTTAAGATCGGTGATCAAAGGTCCAGGAGCGCTTCTTCTGTTTGACATACTGCAGCACGTGGAGCTGACCAAACCGGGCTGTTTTGGAATGGTCGGTGTCAAATTGAGGGTGACACCAGCACTGTGGAATGTGACGTAACATTCTGGAACCGGATACCAACACCGTTGCAGTCTTGTCGGAAGCTAGGCATCAGCAACACTGGAAGCAGCGAACCCAAAGCTTTGAATACGCGATTTGGTACGGTTGGATTGCGGCATAATAATGCAAAAGTGGTGAGCAATATTTGCTTAAACGTCATCAAAAACACATGGCTCATTAACTTTTGTGAATCAATGGCCGCTTAGCTCGAAGCAAAACTGTGCGAACCGCACAATTGTCAGTGGTGCTGTGTGTCGTGCGTGGAAAACGGGACCAAAATATGCGGCCATGCAAGGCTTGAATGGCTTGGAAACAATTTTAGCTTTTCTTAGGCTCTTTTCAGGTTCTTTTGAGTTATGCTTCCAGGCTCCTTCCCCTGCCGATGCGTGCCCCACCTTAACAGCAACTTTCACTTTCTTCCAAGTGGCTTCAAACACCTTCCCAAAGCCTCCCTCTCCGATCTTCGTCCCCAAGAAAGGCTCGATCTCCTTCTTGTAGTCGACTCCGAAATTCACCGACGAGGGGTTTTGGAAGTTTTGTGTGAGGACGCCGTGAGGGCCCGGACCGGTGGCCTGCGTGGCCGTCCTGCGGACTTGGCGCGACTCCGCGGCAAAGGACATGTCAATGCCTTCCCATTTCCAGTGGATGTACCCATTCCAGGACTTCATATCCCTGAGAACAGCAACGGCGATTCTGCTCTGCCCGTCTGTACATTGTGTGTGCTGACGTTCTGCTGCGTACCGTAGATGTACTGTAGATGTACATGTACTGTAGATTTCCAATCATTTCTCTGCCACTGTGTTTCGTTGATCAGTATTTATTAACCTTGGGAATTGTAAACTGGAAGCACTTCACTGTTGCCTGAAAATCAATCCGGGACATGAGCCCTCCCGCACGTTTCTGGAATCGGATATGCAACAAAAAGGAACTCCACATGTATGTCGAAAAGATGAAGGAAAAGTGCTGTCTGCGCTAGGAAACATGTTTGAAATCACGCATAGTAGACCGAAACAATGCGCAGATCAACGTGCCATTGTCGTTATGTACGGTACGTTTCGAAAGGCAACACTGAGCAGTTCAGATCCAAAGACCTGCCTTCGAGGAATGTGATGCATTAGTGCTCCATCATTTCGACAGCAACGAACAACGGTTCAGAATATCAGGGTGCAGGCTGTTGAGTATGCGCAGCTGTGCATGTGTGTATCACAGCAACTGCTCAGCCGCAATTAAAGTGGTATGTTCAACGTTCGTGTTGCATATGGCGCAAGGGGCTTGCAAGAGTCTGAGACACAGCGCGACAATTGAACATGCTGGGAGCGCAGCATGCAACGTACGGACGCTATGGCATTTTCGACCCTTCACCTGGCACTCCAGTCTGTGAACTCCGCTTTTTCTGTCATGTCCAAAAGCAGGCAGGATTCGGCTCCAGATATAGAAGGCGCAGTGTGGAACTTGACATCCTTGGAAACAAGGGGCTCTCGCTCCAACTCGACTTCCTTGTCGTCCATTCCGGGGTCATCATCATACCACCAAACCACTGGAAGAGCGCACAGACCAATTTTGCCGTCCGACACCAATTTTGAGCAAAGGCAACACAACAACGTGGAAAAACTTAATACGCATCACAGCTGCGGCTTGTTGAGTCACCAATTGGTGCCAAGATTGCAGGTCTTGTGCCATACTCTTGGTTGCATTTCTCAAGACGGCGCGGAAGTACGCTTGATCCTCTAGGATTACACAAACCCATCGTCCATGACGCTCAGAAACTTTTGAAAGTTTTGTCGCAATTGCATTTTGCCGCACAATGTTTGAAAACTTCAAGCCTTTGGGATCGCACTTGGCAAGGGGCTCGGGGCAGCTGCGCCCTCATGCATTCAACGCGCGAGCAACATGCGCTCGGCAGCTTGCCACGCGCAACTCACAATGTCAGTACTCAGGCCACGCATCCATTAGGAGATGGCCATCTCACGCGGCTGATCTCGTGGCATCAGAAACGGCCAACGTACCAGGGCTTTCTATGCTGTAGGCTGGCGATTCACGGCGTTTCGTGAACGCATCGGTGCTGCCGTAGCCATCTTCATCTTTTGCCATTTTCTCTATTGCCCTCAGCTTAGCGGCCCGCCGGCCACGGCGTCGGCGAATTACACAGCAGCAGGCAATGATCGCCAGGCACACAAAAGTTCCCGCCATGCCTCCTGCAATGCTCCCACAGAGACCCCGCTTTAACACATTCGCGTCATTCGTGCCTTTGTCGTATCGATGAAATACGCCGTCGCCCAAGAATACGGGCCACTCCTCCTTATTTCAATCATACCTAAGCTGCGACAAACTACTGCATATCGTGCACCAGCAGGGCAAATCTCATTGACCACACACCTAGCCGCACAACCGTAACAATATTCTTGATGCCATTTTAACTAGCTCTACATAATTTCAATCTCTGCCGCTGATTTAATGGCGGGAACTTGTGACAGTGATTCATCACAACGAAATATGCTCATTATCGTCAACAGGGACACGACTATTTTCAAATAGACCACTGTTCAGTTGCGTCACAAGTGGCACCTGGAATTGCCGGTGGACAGTGCTCCTTTATGTCGTCAGGTCGACGAGTTTCACGCCATGGTGGCTCAAACACACGTGCATGTTGCACAGCAAAAGGGAAACGCCACCTTCGTCAAAAGATTTGGGAGACCTGGCGTCAGACTCACCCACCTATTGCGGGAATAAGGAAAGTGCCGCTTGAGCTGGGCCCTTGCGTCCCGGTCGTCGTGTTGGGCTCCACGAAAAGCGGCGGTTCTACCACAAAAGTAGAGGGCTCGGATTTGCAGCAGTACTTCTTGCGCAGCCCACATTGGGTCGCATTGTGCTGCCTCATCTCGCACTGGAATCCGCCCGCCTGAACGACCTGCACGACAGCCATTGAACGCCCACACCCTCAGTTCAGACGTTCCCTTTTGGGAGCAGGCACGAGGTCCCCAGCACAGAAGATGGCGCACGCCCCTGGTTAAGAAACACTCGCTTTGCAATTGCTTTGATTTTAGAGCATATTCAGATATTGAAGTAGCAAGGTAAGCACCTGTATACATATGTCTGGTGCATGTTGTTGATAACGGGTTTCAACATGGACAGAGAAGCATCTCTTTAAGAAAAGTGTCAATATTCCTATCAATATACTACAATCTTTCCCATCAATCAAACATTCCAATCCTGTTGTGTATGTATGCATTCTAACGCATTGAGCGCAGCTGATGCCATGAAATACTGATGAAGGCAATATCATGCATTGCGATGATGATATATCCTGCACCAGGGCGGCAATGACAGGCGGTCGCTCACGGAGCTGCACGAGCCCATGCACACAATGGATCATCCATTATCCCCTGCTTCCGCCGGTTAATGCTCGGCAGCGCCAGATGAAACATTAACCCCTTAAACTTTTCTGACAACGACGACTGCCCCAAACACTGCTGAAAAACAGGCCAAAATACGCGGTATTGAAAATCGTGTACAAATCGTGTCAATCGGGTAGCTATCGTATGAACATGGGACCAAACCGTGCAGTAACGATTGAGTGAGTGCTCATGATTTTACATTTTGACAGGGTTTTATAGCGAGTTTTACACTGTTCCAAACCGTGTTCTTTGGCCAATTTTTGTCCAAAAAACAGCCGTCAAGCAGTTTCTAAATTTCGTGCCTGCCCCCGTTTGCGCAACTGCGCGACCAGCAGCAGAAAATCAAACGGAAAGCGAAGGTTTGCTTTTGGTCGCCGCACCTTCTGCCTTCCGGCTGCTGGCGAGCTTCCCCACACGAGCCTGCCTTCCACATATACGGGGATGTGCGTGTTGTTCTCGTACAACCGTTGCACAAAAGAGTCCGGCAGGGCAGACAGCCGGTCATCGACCGCGGTGTCCGCGAACGAGAAGTCCTTGGTGGCGTCAATCTGACTCAGTATCCTGTTGGACGATATGTTCACGATGGCTTCAAAGAAGGGGGGGTCCGATCTAGATGCATTCTGCAGATCGGCAGGATCAGAAGGATCAGAATCAAAATCAAGACGCGGATAGGAATGGTCACACGACACGAATTCTGACTTTGAAGAAACGTTTTCTGCGACGGGAAATCTCTACAGGACTCGTCAACCATGAGCATGTCTTTTGGCGAGATGATTTTCCTCCCTGCACAAGCGCCCAGAGCAACATGAATTCGAGGAACACAAGACCGCAATTGATATCCTTTGCCATCAATGTGTCTGTTCACACCATTGATTTAGGAGCTCGAAATGCATTTCTCTAATGTATCGGTGGTTGTGACTCTATAGATTACACGCTGTATATCATGTTGAGCATTCAAATTTTCCTCTCCCGGCGAATTGAGTGTGTGGGGGGACGCGTCGCCGCACACATGGCGATTTGTATATGCGAAAGCAGGTGCGCAAAGGGATATTGGCGCCTTCTTACACCGGTAGCTTCAATTGGCCACTGACGCTCGTTTGCGGACAGACGCGGAGGCTCTCAGCAGGAATGTGAATGCTGCATGCATAAATTGTATGCTCTATTTCATGCATAATTTGCATGTTCTGTTCTATGCATTATGTTTTATGCATAAATTGTACGTTCTATTTTATGCATAATTTGTATGTTCTGTTCTATGCATTATGTCTTATGCATAAATTGTATGTTCTACTTGGATTTTCAGTCCGCCATTGGCGTCCGCCAATTCACGACGAAGCAAATCCCTGCCGCGCCATTTTGACAATGTTGAGCACTCCTTTCGGCCAGAGCCTCAGACGGCGCCCTCATTCAAACCACGAACCAAAGTTGCCCGTTGGATACTTCGTCGGAGGAAATGGGTGGCGGCCGCCATCATGATGAAGGAACAGGATTGTTCATCAATTAGTGAGTTCCTATATCTCGTTGATTCGTGAGCAGCCGTGAACAGTCATGAGAAATATCTGTTCAATATTGAACAAGAATGCTATCGAAGCCTATGCTCTGGAACACCTCATCAGCGACGGTTCGATGGTGGTCGGGCATCTCTTCAATCGCCAATTAGATACGGTATAAAATCGTATCCTTCGAACAGAAAGTGAGTGATGATGGTGTTGAGGACATGTACATATGTGTACCAGCTTGTGCAGAGATAAGAGAAAGTGGGTCTATACAGGAATTGCTGCATTGTTTGCAGCATATCATGTTGCGTGGAGAAATTCCTGCTTGCCAACATTATCACCATTCTTTTTGTTTGGTGAAGCGACCATACAGTGGACATGCAGCGCTATGCATCCCTAAATCCACTCAAAAATGAAAAGGGAAATTTGGAAATTCACTGCGTCTTAAGCCTTAATTCGTGGTGTCGGGGGCAAAGCGAGCTCACCTTGTTACCTTCCAGGGTCTGGTTCGCCTTCAAAATTCCAGCACCTTTGGCGAACGACATCTCCACCTTGTACTTGGCTCCTTGGACTCCCGCCAGTCCGGGCTTTACTGTCGTTCTCATTTTGTCGCAACCTGAATCATGGCACGACTGGCCTTGAAGGAAGGATTACATAACATGTGAGAACACGAACATGGATGCAGACCTTAACTATAGATGATGTGCAGCATGGGCCGCAATTCGATGCCATGGTGTTATCGGCATTCCATGCAATTCTCCATCAGTTGCATCAGATAAATTTGAACCGATGCAGTAGAATTCCTGCAGCCCCCCCCCAGGCACCCACCCCCAACCCCTCCTCCACTAGGCTCCACCCATCCCCTCTGTTTCACAACTTTCCATGCACATTGGGAGCGTTTTGCTGCATTCCGACACATGAAGCCTTTGCTTTGAGGCCATGGAACTTTCTTCTTTATTCGCCTCATTTGATACTTGTTTCATTCTTTTGGGCACATGGGGGGGTCTGTCGGCAATCGGGCGCTAACAACCTGTCGTTGCATCCACGCAGTGGGATTTGAATGGAACTTCTTCTGTGGCGTTCCTCGGTACTCCCTGGTAGCCGCCGTCGAACCAGTACTCCGCAGTCACACTTTGCAGATCCATGACCTTCGCTCCCACATTCACAATCCTACACAGTGCAATCAACCACTAATTCAGGCACCGTACCACCAGATCATGATTTGGTGCTGATCAGCACATTCAAAACATGAAGTTCGCACTTGTGCACCACAATTTCCTTACTGGTGCAATGTGAAAGGCTGTGTAGCCAATGCGACTCGTTTTCTTTTGCAAATTTTCAATGCTGCGACTTGAAATGAAGCACTCTGGTGGTGGCTCTCATGTGCGTCTGCTCCAGCCGGGCAATGATTTGATCGTCCACGTCTGTTCGTTGCCACAATCCATTTGTGGCACTTCGAAAATGCCTTTTTGGGTGAACTTGCATTTTGCAGAATGCCATGCTGACTAGGCAGGCGTGACATTTAGGCGCACATTTGCACCAGGGTAAAAGGGGCGGTGGCCATGCTCTCCGGATTCCATTTGGCAATTTCTCATTTCTCACTTCTGTCAACTTAACTGAAAAAGTCCAAGAGAACCGTAGCCCTTGCAGACCAATTCTCATTCGAGCTGAATTCATGTTGACAAATAACCATCCAGAAAGCTTCAAAGATGTAGAATCTCCGTTGGAGTTTCGCAAATAGTTATTCGCCAACGTGAATTTGGGACCAGAATCTCTGTTTTGCAATTATGCAGATGATTCATTCGCATGTCACTCTCCACGTAACACGCTTGTGCACCAGTAGAAAATGATATTACTGCGATGCTAATGCTGTTTGGCACCAATTAATGCCATCAAGGCTACTTCTAAGGCAACCCGATCACTATGATGGCACCACTTTGTGTAAAAATGGCATCGCATTCGGCGTCGCAATAATTTTGTTTTCTGGCGGCGATAGCCACAGCCGTGTGAATTCGAAACAGGAGTTTCAGCACCTCACTACAAAAATGATGCGAGAGGTTGCAAAGCCGTCTGTGATCCTGAGATTCTTGAATTCCACGGGCAGGTAGCGCACAACCACGTCTCCCCTGCTCTCCTCTCCTCTCGACTTCGCGACCCACTCCTGCGTCGTAACTGGATCGCACTCGTGGCCGTTGAGCTCGATGTCTTCGGGGATGTCCAGCCTGTAGACTGGAGATTCAGAGGTTCCGTCGTTTCCCTTGTCCCCCACAAACCCCACCGAAGACGACGAGCCTCCACCGGCGAATCCTGCAGTTATGGCTTCGTTAGAGCTGGGATAAGTGGATGGGTCCTTAGAGCCAACGTGAAAGCAAGACATATTGCCCATGTCACGTGCATCTACCGTCGGTTTAAATTTTTGGTTTCCCACAGCGGCGTAGTTCTCTTGAAAGAAAACAGCGCAGCTGCGGTTCCAGGCTGCCTTCATGGTGCCTTTAAGTCTATATGTTCCTGTGAGCTTCGCATGCACTCGACCTAACAGTAAGTATACTTTGGGTGACGGAAGCATCTGTGCAATCCTCGAGAGCCCCGCATACGTGTGCGCTTCCCTAAACTGCTATAATCAAAAGCGTCAAATTGGCGGTGACCTGCAGCGGGCATTCGTCAACAAGCAACTGACGGGCTCGCTCTGCAACTGCCCGCACTAGGGAAAAAAGGCCCAAATAATACGTGTTTAGACGTGTACAAAGTTTATGGGTTTGGGTCATTTACTTGTTTTCAGCACGCAGAACACTGACGAAATGCATATATGTGTGTTTCCCAAAAGTGCTATTTGATCCTTTAAAAGAAAATTTTCCTGCCAGTGCCAACTGCGTTGTTTTGCGCCAAAACGTGTTCTTCAGAACCATTCCATTGTGCGCCTATCTTGAATTCAAGATGCATTTTTTGAAACACAGGAAATTAAGTCCTGCAGCAGCCAGCGACGCCAGGATCCCCGTTTTTGGAAGGCATCCTCCTCGTGGCTAGATAGCCGGTCCCCCGTATGGATTCTGATCAGTGCTTCAGCTTCAAAACCGATGAATATCCTGACACATTGTGCTCATCAGGGCTTTGGTCACATCTTTGCCTGGCCGCCCATTTTTGGGAGAAGCAGGACCACCCTTCATGTGAGGCGTTTCACTGCCTGCAAGCCTAGTTGTGTAAATTGCGCACCCGCAGATTCATTCCATGACAGCATGATCCTTTGATGCTCCACCGTCTCGGCCGAAAATGTGAATTCTGTGGTGTCCACAAAGATATCCCTTTTCCCTTTGAGCCTTTCCCCAGCTGTGAAGGTCCATCCCAGATGGATGACCCCACTGGCGATCTGCGCACAGCCCATGATGAAATTCACTGGTAAAAATCAGACCACCACACGCTGTTTTGGAAATTGTGCACCGTGCAACATGATTGAAAATCGTGTACATTAGTGTTGAATCGTGTATTTACCGTGTGTTTGTCGTACAAAATTGGGAGCAATCCGTGTAGTATCGATTGAATGAGCGTATACGATTTTCACACGTTCTGATACGGTTTCGCACGTTTTTTACACCGTTCGAAACCGTGTATTTTGGCCGATTTTTTCCTTGTGATTCAAGGCGTGTGCACACAGTGATCACTACACTCATGGATGCATGCCAGACACAAAAGAATCTCCTACAATTCCAGGTAGGAACGCATTTTCCCTTGCCGCCAAGTCGCACTATTGCTTTTTTTAAGAACGAGGAAAAATCGGATATGGAACTGATTCACATATTGATGATCGATTAAGGGGAATCTGCAGTTCCGAGGTTGTGCATTTTGGACCAGCAACAGGGATCTGGCATGTGTCTCTTCTCAACGGCTACGCCTGGAATTCACTCAGTGCTCTGGTGCTTGCGCCGGCGGCTCTGGACGTGGCCATGGTCCATTCTGACGGTTCATGTACAGTGGGTATAGCACGGATGGTGACATGCATATGCACATTTTGGTCGTAACAATATATGTAGGAAATCCTCTTCCTCTGGTGCCTCTGCTGAAAGATGAGTCCCTCTATAGTAGTTGCTGTAATCCACACCCAAACCCGAATCTGCTAAGGAAGCGCTAAAGACCAGGAGCCCAAGAAGCAAGACTGCAGCCTGGGCTAAATGACCACAGCTTTAAAGCTGGGTCAGAGTTCTGATCGGCTGAACTGTGCAGCGTGCAGCATTCAGGAAACCCATTTGAGGCAGCGTGCTCGTCGCCCCCGTCGCTCCCGGGCGACGGCGGCACCACCAGCTCTCCGCGCGGGCGCTCCGCGCGATCAGACTGGCGGGGCCCGCAATGCGCGCCGCGCCTCCCCCCCATCCTCATCCACATGCATGCGCCTGGATCCATGCACGCTCCCATGCAATCCGCCGCGCGCCTTCCTCACACATCAACCCCCCCACCCCCCCACCCCCCCCACCCCCACCCCCGCCACCCACCACCAACCCACCGCCCTTCCCCATCCCCCACTGGCCTCCCTTAACGTCGGCAGCCCCCACCTCTCCGCTGTCGCTGCCTGCGAACACCGTGACCTCCCCGCGAAACAGCTCCGACTTGTTGGCCTTCAACGGGTCGCCCACGCTCGCCACGTACTCCACAACCGCGAAGCACTCCCCCCGGCCGCCCCCGCCAGCCAATCCCGGCCCCGTCGCGAGCGCATCCGATGCTCGCGGCGTGGCGGATGGCGGGGATTCCCCGCGCGCCAGCAACGCGAATCCCAGGCACGCCCAAAGAGCCGCCAACTCGGCTCGGGCCCGTCGCCAGGGGCTCGCGGTCATCTCATTGGGCCCCTCCGCAGGGTGCCGACGCCCCCGTCCAACAGCCGATGGGCGATAGTGTCGCCCGTGGAGACGCGGATTCCTCAATCGAGGGGATGGCCGGGAGGCCGTTGGGAATTCTCCCGCTAGGCGGTAACGGGGCGCAGATAGCCCCGCCCGATCGCCGCTGTCCCCCGATGCGCAATTACGCCGCCCCTTGAGGAACTGCGGTTTCGTTTGTCAAAGGGATGGCCGGCGACTCGCCGACTTCAAGCCCCCGGCAAGTGGAAGGCAAGGGCAGGGGGACTGTCAGTGATCGGTGCCGATCGAGTGCTGCCCGAAGGCAATGGGATGCGGTGGTGGTGGTGCGGTCGTGGCGTCTGGCGCTCCGAGACGGGCCAGTAGTTTGCGGCCTGCCTGGGAGGTTCCTGGGACGGGGCGATGGGGTACCGCAACGGCAGTTTGGTGATGGTATGTTGGTGTGGGCGTGTACGCGAGTCGCCACGCTGCGAAGTTCATGAACATTTGTGGTGCTTACGCGGCGAGAAGTGTAACGTTGTGCGCCCCTGGCGCCGCAGTGGTGTGCGGCCGTCAGCAGAGGCCTTTTTCCGCTTTGGATTGGGTCTGGTGCAGTCCTCAGCTAACCGGAAGCTCGCCTGAAGATTTGGTGAGTCAGTGAGTCAGTGCTCGCAACAGCCGCCTGCATGGCGTTGTGTTTGACCTGTTGATCCCGACGTGCATCAATGGTATGCATCGAGGTGCAGCGAAAGGGACCGATTTGTCAGCCTGGGATATTGGGCGCGACGCCGCAGATTCGGGATTATGGTGCTGAATTCCGTTGGTCAAGGGCCGGCCCGGACCGCGCCTGCGGCATCCGGACTGCATGATCTGCGCACCGGTGATGGTCGGTACCGTAGGGAAAATGAAAAATATCGGGAGGAATCGATCACGTGGGCGCGGACAGGGTGCGCATGACGCTATTGGGAAACGCCGCAGAGCTATCAAGGGTAAGGCTCATGTGTCTAAGCTTTGCGCGGATCGGTACATACGGACGAACTAGAGCCTACAACGCGAGAGAGGTGCGCGGGAACAACTGAATGGAGAAATGGCCGTTGAGCGTCGAATTGCAAGCCAGTGGCGTAGGGAGAATCTGCACGGCTGGCGATGCAACCGTTGGGAGCTCTAACGTGTGCCCTCCAAAATTAAAGGATGTGTGCGCACGCTCCACCACCCACAAAACCAGGTCACGGCAATTGCCACTGTGTCGCAAGTGGACATTCACACCCGAGTCCCCTGTTGGCAGGGTTCTAATTCGTACCTGCTTTGCCTGATATGGGTAAACGGGCAGCAGCTTCAGGTGGTCACGGGGGTCGTTTGGCCGACCAACACTGCGCGAACAACGGCTGCAGATCTCAAGACAGCCTCACAGCCCCATGGCGAACCGCGCGGCGTATCCCTCTGCCAGCTGTCTCCGTCGTTTGTTCCATGTTTGTTTGTTTGTTTGTTTGTTTGTGGGCGGCTGTTGGCCTCTCTGGGGAATTGACAGGGAGATGACGGCTTCCTGCCCTTTCCATTCTCTTCCCATGCGATGATTGATCGATTGACTCATCGACTGATGCAGTGGCTTATAGATCGGTTGGCTGACTGTGCATTAATCCCATCTGTTTGCCTTCAGATTATGCCGGCATTTATGCGGCCTGACGACGTACTTCAGTTGTATTTGGGGGGCACATAAAGCTGTCGGCCTTCCTTGTTCATTTATGGCATTCTGGTGCTGAACATAACAAGGACAAGGATGATCCCTGGCACTCAGTCTGCATTACATCCGCTGGGATCTCCATTCAGTGCCTTGCCTGCAATTCATAAGTTCCATTTGTTCAGTAGAGCAAGCACGCCGAACATCTGCAAGACCATTTATTCGCACATGGTGCGCACAGGTTCAGGAGGGCAGCTGGGGATACTGGTCCTCAGTTAGCGGCGATTCCATTCAGAGAGGCGTGGAGGGTTGGGCAACGGAGCACTCTCCTGGTTTGGTATGTGCAAAGCCCACACGACCAGAAAAAGGCCACGTGCATACAAACATGGAGTCAGCTAGTTTCAGGCAATATGCTCTTGTTCAGCAATGTGAACCAGTGTCAGCAGCCAATCACTCAATGAATCCGCCGCTAGGTAGAGGAGGGACATCAGTGAGTCGCCAGCCACCTGTCAACTCTCCTGCAGAAGACAGCGTGTAAGGAAACCAACCCGCCGTCACAGGAGGCGGGCAGCTGCCAGTTGGCGATCCGTGTTATGTTTGTCAATTTACATCGTTTTTGATAACGTCAGCAAAATGCCGTCGACTTTTCGCAACATCCACATTGGGTCCCAGCTTCGCGCTTGAGCAAGCCCGGCATTATGCCGAGTTCAGCAGTGCGCACCCCGCAGGTCTGACTAATCCCCAGCGACCCCGTGGCTGCCAAAATTGCAACAGATCCAAACCGACTAGGCACAGTGGCGCCGTTAAAGCGAGGCCACTCCCCGAGCCTTCCCAAACTGTCATGACACATCACGCACCATCCTCAAACACACCCTCATCCAGTCGCAAGCACTGGCGCCAGTATAGAAAACCAAACGATCAGCTCGAGTCAACACAAACGTGCAGCGAATGAACATCGCTGCCTCTCAGTTACGAAAGCAAAGGCTGCCTTTCACGATCACGTGCGTCTTGTGTAGTTGGCGTCAAGCTGACCCAGGTTGGGCAATATCTCCATGCATTTCCTCCTGTACATAGGGTCCGCTGCCTGCGTCACCAACCACAGCACTCTCATTCCCACTGCAGTTTAAAGGAGCGACAGGTATTTCCCGTCATGCCATTGCTGTCTGTGTTTCCAACCTCACAGCGTGCTCCCCATCGTGCGTCACCAATGCCCCATGCACTGGACGTGGCCAACATCCCATTCGCTTTGTTGGAGTTTTTCATGGCGAGGCTTGCGCATTCACGGAGAACTGGAAACCTGAATTGCAGTGGCGCCCAGCATTGGCTCCACATCAAGGATCCTACAATGCAGGATGATTTTGCCTTGATGCAGAGACAAGCAACATGAACCCTGCTGGCCACCACACTGTTAGCTACCACACCGCTCATAAGGAATCGTTCACTCGTTCGTTGCCTTGTAGCATAATAAAAGGGGAATGTGCCAGCGGTTTTGCCAAATGTAGCCAGAGGCGGCTCACTGAGCATGTGGCCACTTTCGCTGTTGTCTGATCCACTTGGGAATTACAACGTGGCACTCACCACTTTGTTGTTGTGAAGGTAGAGTGTGGTCAAAGACTGCCTAGGTCCCTGAAGCGACTCGTAGATCCCCTCCCAGGAGTCTATGCTGTTATCGTTGAGCCACAGATCTTCCAGCTGTCCCAGGCTGTCCAAGCCTTCGATCTTTTCCAGCCTATTGCTTGACACATCGAGGACCTTCAGGCGAGTGAGAGTGCCCAGGCCCTGGACAGCAAACAACAAAGCTCTGCAATCAGTGGCCAGTGTACACCAATGGCATGCAGCAACTGGTACCTTCACCAGAATGAGGACAAGCTGCCAAAGCAATGAGCCAGTTGCTCCAATGACTTTCAAACATCACTTGAACACCAATGCACAACACACAAGGCGTTGCAACCTATTGTGTGATTGTGAATTTTCGAAAATGTGCAATGACGCTTGGCAATTGTTGCCATTCCTATGCACTTTCCAGCAGCAAGCTGCAATGCAAATGGCAGTGGGAGGTTCGTGGGCTTCGTTGGAAAGCACAGATGGCCACCATTAATCAACTCCAGTATAATGAGCAGTAAAAGTAGATGTTGTTGGGAGGCCAGGTCGTGGGCAGCATCACAATGCTTTCCAATACACATTCCCGAACACAACAAAGTGCTGAGCATTCTGCAAAATTTCCATCAATTCCTTCACAAGGAGCAAAGAAAGTACATAGCATCCAATATGCCAGAAGAATGCCAGTCGAATTCTCATTGCCTATTCCATGATCGGCTTGCAATGCAATTCAAGACATTCCACCGAGCTCTAATAAAATTCCAGCCTAAAGCAATACAGGCACTCCAAGAGCAACACTGGAGCGATCATTGCGCAGATCTGTGGTCAAAGCGCTGCACCGACACATGCCATTATGGGAGTGCAACCCACCTCCAATCTGGATATACCATTGTGGCTCAAATACACCTCCTCAAGCCCCACACATTCCTCAAAACCCCTCATGCACTCCAAGCGGTTGCTTTGCAACGACAGCTGCCGCAAGTTTGTCAGGTGCCCCACATTCTCAACAGTAGATATCCTATTCCTGCCCAACCACAGCTGCTCCAGGGACTGCAAGGTTTCTAGACCCTCAATCTTGGCCACACGATTGGAACCCAGCTCAAGTATCCGGATTTGCACTAGGTCCTCCAGCCCTTCGATCTTAGTGATCTTGTTGGCGGCCACGTACAGCTCTTCGAGGGGGTTTGAAGTTCCCAGAGACAGCAGTCCAGAGATGCTGCGCAGCTGGGTGCATGCATCCATACATCGTCAGCGTGAATCGGCAAAGAGCAAGAAGCCCTGCTGATGCATCAAGGCATGTGCAAAGGTATTGTGTGTGCCCCAAAGCACAGCAAGATTACATTCAGTATAATCATGCTGAAGGTTACAACAGGACAGCTTTGCAGCGCACCTCTGCAACAGCCAAAGCACAACATTAGTTTGGTGCTTGCAACTCAGGGATGATTCCTACTGTGATGATAGATATGGCATTTTCAACCAACCACTACCCAAACACCTCCATTGTGACCAAGGAAGCAGGCACTGTGTTGCGTGCTTGTGCAGGGTCAAAGTGACAGGACTTTGTGCCTTGGACTATGTGCAACTGTGGCTTGGAGAAAGGTTGCATGCAAGAAACTTGCGAGATGTATGTCAGACGCTCTATGCTGAGGCAATACCTGATTGTATGACACCTCAAGGCGCCGCAGCTTATGGAAGCCTGTCAGGTCAGGCAGCTGCAGAAGGCACAGAAACCATCAGGAGCATCTCACTTGTGTATCACAAAAGTGTACGAAGGAGGTGATGTCAGCATAATAGAAGTGCAGCACCACTCCAGGGTACCCCTGGCCCAACCAAGGCGATCTGAAATTTCGTTGCTGGGCAAGGTGGCAAAATCTGTCTGCAAGGAGCAAGCGAATTAGCAAAATGCTGCAAAATCGAACGAGCTTACACATGTGCAACTTGGATGGAAAGATGGGGGGTGAAGCCATGGAAACACTGTGAAGTGTTCCACAACTCATCAACAGAACATTGTGGGCTGCCGTGATAGCTTCTGAGGCTGGGAATGACATCGCTTTGCGCCTTCAAACACAAGGCCAGCACCTGCTTGAGTTGATTGTCCCTAAGCTCCAAATCTTCCAGCACACCCTTGGACTGAAACTCAGCAACTACAGATGCATCGGGCAACAGATTTTGCCGGAAGCACAGCGATGTCAGCCCTGCAGGAGTGCAGAGAGCACACAATAGTTGGGAGGGGCAACGGATGCGGAATCAGGTCATCGTGGGCTTTTGTCAATATGAACAGGACAGCAGGGCGGAGCACAACGTGGCCAGCGCTGTCATCACTGCATGTTTGTCCACAGGTATGCTCACCTGTGAGGGCAAGGATTCTGCTGTCGATGTCTTTGAGGCGATTGGTCGTAAGGTCCAATGCCTGGTGAAGCAGAGCATCCCAAAGAGCCCATTAAGCAGCCAGGTGCAAAAGCACATAGACACGCTCCCACAGGCGCATTTGGTAAGTCCCCAAACTGCACAATTGGGCACACTTGCACAGCACATGCCTCCCAGGCTCATCGCGCTCAGCCGTGGGTGCGCAAACCCGCCGCAGACACGTGCCGTGCCAAGCAAGGGGCTGCAAGGACCCGCTTCCTTCGCCATTCCTCACAGGGCGAGTCGTCCCCAGAAAGCGCCACAATCAAGCGCCCGGCGGCGCCACAGCCAAGGCGGCGCATCGAACAACGTGGCAGGCAATTTCAGCCGCTTCATCGGACGAGCAACGCAGCGCAGACATAGCGCCCATCACCGTCAGCGTGCCGGCGATGGGCACGTCCTCCAGGTCGTGCAGATGCGAATTGCTGAGGTCCAGCTCCCGCTCGCCGCCGCCCGCGGCCTCTTGGGCTCCGTTCTCGTCCTCCATCGCCTCGGCCGCCCAGCAACGTCCCGCCGGCGACCGCGCGGAGGGGCCAAACAGACAAGGGGGCCAGCACCGCACCTCGTGGGCGGGGGGGCCGCATTGTACATCCGAGCGGGAAATGGGATTAACTATCTTGTTAAGGGGTTTCCGCCCAGGGTGACGAGGGGCGGGTGCGCTGGCCCAGTCAGGCCAGCGCTGCTTCAGTACACCGTTTTTGACGGCCCCTTGGGGTTTCTGTCCCCCTGTACCTTGGGTCAGTGGCCAGTTCGGCGCGTTCAAGGAGAGCCAGTGGTTTTTGGCGCCCTTGGGAGCGGCGGGCTTTGGCGGGCGCGAGCGGGGAGGCTACTTAGGCTCTCCCCTCGGTCCCCACTCCATCTTGTTTTGTTTTGCGCCAAACCTTTGGCACAACCCGGACCCACAGAGTGGGTCTTGACCTCCGGCTCTTTGCCGAGTTCTTGCCTATGAACCCGTCCCCTGCGGAGCAGTGGTGCCGGGAACAAGCTCGCCGGTTCAACAACCGTATTCCGAGCTCCGCTATCGAAGCCTGCTGGTTGCCCGACCCGGCGCTACTCCCCCAGTCCGTCAACAACCCGGTCGCCCGACCGGTGGGCGCCCGTTCGCCGTACTGGTTCGACATCCGCGACACCGCCGAGGGGAGTGCGGTCGCCGCCTCTTTGGGCGCCAACTCCGGGTACTTCCAGGAGTACGCGGGCTGGGCTCCTCCGGTCTCCTGGCTGTTCGACACGACCGCGGCCTTTGTGGAGGTGGCCGCCCATCCCGATCTCCCGGCGTCCGTACGGGAATTCCTCCTCCCATACCTTTACTCGTACGTGGAGGTCACCGAAGCTCTCCACGACCAGCTCTCCTTGCAGCGCATCCACGCCAAGCACAAGGGCTCGGGCCTGGAGGGATCGTGGCGGGCCATTCAGGCGGAGATCCGCCTTGCCGACCGCGGTCTGCGCTTCGGCACCGCTCGCGTCGACGGGACCATCGAGCGCATGCGCAAGGAGCTTCTGACGCAAGAATTGAAGCACGCCACCAAGACCGTGGCCACCAAGAAGTCTACCTCCCCCCCGTCGACCTCGGCCCCCTCGACCGGCCCCAAGGCCCACAAGGGATCTCGCCCTCCGGGCCCCTCCCCCAAGCCGGCTCCGTGAAGGCCTTCCCGTACAATCGAGTCCGCGGACGCCTTTCGGCGTGGCGT